TATATATATATATATATGCAAACACAAGATATATACATAAGCATACATAATAGAATACATTGTTGGGATTATTAATTTGAATGAATTGTTGTTATCTGTAGGTCAGTTAAGAAGAAAAATAAAAGTTTTTATTTACCTTCACATACTTCTTTTTCAGTGCTCTTCCTTTATGTAAGGATGAGTTTCTGGCTTACATTATTTTTCTGCTCTCTGAAAAGCTTCTTTTAATATTTCTTGCAAGGCAGCTCTCCTCACAACAAATTTCCTCAATATTTGTCTGACAGAGTCTTTCTCCTTCACTTTTGAAGGATAATTTTACAGAATTCTAGGTTGGTGTGTTCTCCCTTAACACTTTAAAATTTTCACTTCACTCTCATCCTGTTTGCACACTTTCTGAGAAGAGGGATGTAATTTTTGCCTTTATTTCTTCCATAGGTAAGGTGCTTTTCCCTTCTAGCTTCTTTTAGGATTTTTCTTTCTCTTTGATTTTCTGTACATTGGGACGATATGCCGAGGTATAATTTTTGTGAACATATCCTGCTCAATGCTCTCTAGGCCTCCTGGGCCTGTGGTTTGGTGTTTGGCATTAGTTTGGGGATATTATCAGTCAATATTGTTTCAAATATTTCTTCTGTTCCTTTCTTTCCCCTTCTGTGGTCTTCCCATTAGCAGGTTACACCTCTTGCAGTTGCTCGCCAGTCCTTGGATACACTCTCCTTGTTTTTCGGTCTTTGTTCTCTTTGCTTTTTTACTGATATGTCTTCTAGCCCAGAGATTCTTTCCTCAGCTGCATCCAGTCCACTGATGCATCAAAAGCATTCATCGTTTTGGTTCGTGTTTTTTATCTCTAGCATTTCTTCTTTGTTCTTTCTTAGACTTTCCATCTCTCTGCTTACATTGTCCATCAGTTCTTGCATGCTGCCCGCATTACTCATTAGAGCCCTTAGAATATTAATCACAGTTATTTTAAATTCCCAGCCTAATAATTCCAGTATCCCTGCCATTTCTGGTTCTGTGCTTGCTCTGCCTCTTCTGTTTTTTGCCTTTTGGTCTGCACTGTAAATTTTTCTTGATAACCGGATATGTTGTACTGGGTAAAAGGAGCTGTTGTAAATAGGCCTTTAGAAACGGGGTGGTGAAGTATTGGGCGAAGGAAAGCATTCCATAGTCCTATGATTAGGTGTCTGTCTCTTAGTGAGCCTGTGTCTCTGAACTGTGAACGTCACAAGTGTTTCCCAGCCCCGCCCCCCCCCC